CCATCTCGGGGTAATAGGAGACAATGACACCTCAAGTGTGTGGTTTATGTCCAGTCTACTTCGTAATTTTGTTTTCGTCGCCGTTGCTGCAGAACCCCCCCGCCTCACACAGGTAGGATGTCGGAAATAGCAACAGTGCTATTGTGGCGATCTCAGAGTATTCAGCCATAACTTTAATCCAGTTGTCTCGAACGTACTTTTAAGGCCGCCGTCATTGCGATCTCCAGCAGTTTTTTTACTCATTTTGCGAGCTCCTGTGTTTTGTTTTGAAGTAATCGGTCAGGTGACGGAGAAGCGTGGCTTGATGTGTGTCAAGCGTGACACAGACGGATGTAACGGAGAATCCGGTAGTTTTTCAAAATAAAACATGTTTCGTATTCTGAAATAAATAAAACGGAATTAAGGCAAGTTCTTTCTGTGCGGCCCGGTACCAAATGCCCGGCGGACCGGTACCGGTCCGCGGACCGGCGGTTGGGGACCCCTGCATTAGAGCATCCCTCCTACATTACACCTACAACAGAAGGTGTACTAATTACAGTATATTAGTGATGGCGAGATGAAGCCCCAGGAGGCTCGCACCATTTCAGCAATTTGGTTCCAGCAATGGTTCATTTCTTGATGCTTCATGTGCACATGAAATCACCCACTGTCCATGTGTATAATTACAGGCAGCTATAGCTTACCCACACAATATGTGATGCACTGAAGCATAGATCATTTTTGCATCTGTTTTAACTCTTGGGCATGACAAATTACAAAAAAAATGCATGACGAAATAATTTCTCGACATAAAGTGTATCGGGCTAATATGATATATTTATTCTGTGTGAGTAAATATTTCCCATCCTGTCACATGGTACCATAAAATACAAATTTATTCATACAGCGCATTTCACAACAGCATTTTTTTCCTTCCCACGATAGATGTTTTTATTGTACTCACTTTACACAGAACACAATCACCTCACTGTTAAATAAAATAATCAGTGAAAATTAAAGTATAAAAACAAGACAGACTGAGGCTCGAAATCACACCTAGACTGTCCACTGTTTTGAAAGTTGCGTCCTCAAGCGCCATGTTAAACCTTGCCCTGTTACGGACACCGCATTCACCCTCTTTTGTAAGGATTCCCAGGTGTGTGTGTGTGTGTGTGTGTGTGTGTGTGTGTGTGTGTGTGTGTGTGTGTGTGTGTGTGTGTGTGTGTGTGTGTGTGTGTGTGTCTGGTGACAGTACATTCGCACAACCAAACTATCTCAAACTAAATTAAACGCTACTGTAACACTTTCCAAAGTTTCCAAACTATGATATTTTTGTCCAAACAATGAGATGGCCATGACTCACAACGCACAGACACACACACACGCACACACACACACACACACGCGCGCACACACACACACACACACACACACAGAATTGAATAGATCCACTACCTGAAGGGCAAACCTGTCAAACATTCCGCAACAATCTGAATCATTTCCTGAATCGGTCAAGTGGTACACCAGCCATCGAGGCTTTGAACGTCATAATTTTCAGCTCCTCCCCTAAATGAAGCAAGCCTTGAAACACTAGTTGCGGAAACGCCCCTTTATTACTTGACATAGGCTTCGAAACCATGACACGTCCCGTAATATCACCACAGCATATCATAATAATGCTGAACACCAGGATCAGACTGAACACCAGCTGACCTTTTTTTGTGCCCACCTGTGAGAAGCATTTCCACATGCTGATGGGAGCAGCCGTGCTGGGCAGCCTCATCAACTCTTACTGATTTTGCACCGGCTTCTTATTGTATTCTGATTAAATTGTATTGGCTTCATTAAAAATTCAATGGAAAAAAAAAACTGTATAACTGCCGCGCACACATCACTGGCAAGGATCAGTATAAATTCCAGATGCACGACACAATCACATTTAAATTGTGACATCTTTTCTAAATGGATCTCAGTGGAATTAACGTCTCATTAAATCTCCACAATCTGGAAATCAGGGCCACCCTTAGACTTCACCGAATCATGTCTCTTCGGTTGCACATAATTTTCCAGGTTACCCGTAGTGGGTGTGTCAGAAGTCTGGATGGGAAAACGTCACACCTTGGAATTCCGCAAGCCAGGTGCAAAAAAATACAATAAAATAAATGCCGGTGCTTATTGTCAACGCAAATGGGAGAATATCTCCCTAAATGCTCACATGGCTTTTTCGAAAGCATATATTTGATATCCTTGATTGGGAGGCTACTAGTGCATGACATGGCTACTCGTTGGGCCAATTAATGTGACAAGTGCTGCACAGTAGTTGACCAGTAAGCTGTAAATGTGTATACTTGTGGGCCTACTTTGGCATGTGTAGGGGGGAAAAGCATTACTTACTTACTAGTTCGTCCTAGTCATTCAACTAGTATGCAGAAGTGTCTTACCAATGAAGACAATATGCACGCTAGTTAGTACATCGACCTTAAACGTACATCAAGGACAATAAGTAAATGCTCAAATGGCTTTCCAAAGAGTGGGCCTTTTTATTATATTTATGTATTGTCCAAACACTGCTGTACATCCAAGTTTCTACTTGTTTCTGGTTCTTAATTCCATTTCCTTTCTCTGCAGGTTTGGGTTCCATTGGCCCCCTTTCTGTTCAGTCACACATCTACACCTTCATGTTCTGGCACCTGCCAGCCAGATGAGCTTCATGTCACGCCTGTTCTACAGACTAAATTCTTACTGGTTCATTACAGTAAGCTATCAACGATATAATTATGCTTTGTTCTTTAGTAGGGTTGTACATATGAGGATATTACCTTATATGGCAGCTCAGTTGATTGTGGTTAGTGAGGTGCTTATCTGGGTACTCCAAATTTCCCTCACTTTACGAAAAGCATGTTAGGTGAATTGGAGACTCTAAATTGCCTGTGGGTGTTTTTATCATGATATGTCATGTGATTGGTTACATCCCCTTCTAAGCCACAGTCAGCTGCAACTGTTGCCCAAACACCCTGAGTGTAATGAGAGGTAGATGATGGTTGGATGGATCATCAAATAATTATGTAAAATATGGTTATTCTCTAGTCCCACTGTCATGGTGATAAATTTGTCTCTGACATTCCATCTGTGTTACTACTCTCTCATGCACTACTCTATTTGTGTTTTCTTGTTAAGGAGAAAGAAATAGCACTTGTACAATTATTTTATTTGACTGTTTTTCAGGTTGAGCAACTGATAGAGCTTCTCAACTCAAAAGAAGAAACCAGCTGAATATGTACATCGGATCAATCTCAGTTGGTGTACCTGTGCCTTGTGTTTAAATTGAGGCAAATGATAAGACATTATGCATCGTCTTTGTTTTTAGTTGAAACAATACCAACTCAGGAATTTATACCATGAGCCCCATTTTCGTTGCCAGCGCAACTCTTGCACCAAGTGCAGTCTAACTTTGTGCATTGGTGGTGTTTTTTTTTGTTTTGGTGTTTTGCTCGACTTTGCACAGGTAGAATTGGACGTAACGGGGTGTGTGCACTGTTGCGGGATGGAACCTAGCCAAGTCCTGCACAATCGTGGCGGCATCCCTCATTTGCATTAAAATTAGGGTGGTTGGAGCGCACGCCATACTTGACCTCACAGAAACATAAATTGACTCGCTGGGGCCCGTGTATGACATTAGGGGTGTTCACATGGCACACATTTGCTCCAGCGCTGCACCGATGTATTTTGTTGCGATATATTTTACACCGGAGCAAATTTTATGGAGCGTTCACATGTACAAAGCCCCTGAGCGTATTAGTCCCGGCGCAGCGTTGGTGCAGCTCCACTTGCATTCACACGGCAGTTTCTGCAGCGGAGCAAAACGACAGAAAACAAATGAGCTGTCGGGCTGGTTCTTTTTAAAACGTATACACAACTCAAGCAACTACTGTACAGGCACGTCCTTCTCCTTCTCGGTCTCCGTGCCTTCTGCTAGAGCAGGGGTCGGCAACCCAAAATGTTGAAAGAGCCATATTGGACCAAAATAAACAAAAAACAAATTTATCTGGAGCCGCAAAAAAATAAAATAAATAAAGCCTTATGATGAAGGCAACACATGCTGTATGTATCTATATGAGCTATGTTAGCCTGGTATCAACATGACGAAGTTGGCTACAAATACACGAGCATTCATGATTAAAAGTTTTTTTCCCCCCGGCAGTTCATCCTGTAGAGGAGGGGTGCCCAAACTTTTTTGACGGAAGGTCTACTTTTCGAACAACCAACCTCCCGCGGTCGACCCGTTATCGCACACGCGCGCATACGCACACACTTACACGCGCATGGTGTAATGAGCAACAGCCAGAACGGCCGCTAAGATGAACGAGGCACGGGACGC